CAAGACTCCAGACCTCCAACTATTGATATATTTGTAAATGATGAACCTGGAGAACTAAAGAAACATATTGAATATGTAGAGATTAATGATTATATCGGAGTATTAAAGGATGATATAGTTTGTACAGATATCTCTGAAGATATTAAGATTGATGTAGAAGATGTTATAAACTGTGATGTAAAGCCAGGAGATAAATTAACAAAGACTAAAATAGGTAGGCTCCCTATTATTCGCGTTCGCAGTCCATTATGGTTAATTTCCAAAGTAAAAATCTTCATGTTGATGGCTTAACCATTGACAGCTTTTATGAGTTCTGTACCGGGAAGGAAGGGGACATTGCCTTATTTGGAAAAAGTAAAATATGAATTCATTAAATTCAAATAAAGGTATTTTGAGATAAAACTTAATTTTCAATGATAAATTAAATAAAGATTCCCTGGGCTCTAGCTTATTGGACTCATTGTTTACACAATAGGTGTTTTACAACGAGGTTTGTGGTGTGCAAATTACTTGTATTGTGTTCCCACTCACATCGAACTACTTCCGTAGCTTTCGTTGAACAGGCATAAAACTTTATTCGGAAGGTATTCTCACCGGTCACTAATCTAATGTCTTGTCTAATTGTGAAACCGGACAATCACCTAGTTTAAATAAATATATCTTTATTTCAGAAAACCTGATTGAAAATGCAAATTCTAGAACATCAAGCAAGAAACTAGGTCTTTCTGAGAAGAAAATCAGGTCAAAAGATCCCTACCCCTGTTCTTTATGCAATTTCGAAGCTACCTCTAAGATTGGATTGAGGAAGCATAAAGCTAGTGAACATAAAAGGATTCTTCCACAATGTGCTCAATGCGGGTATTCAGCGCAGAATTTGAAAGAGTTGAGAATTCATGTTAAGAATAATGTTGCCTGTAGGACAAATCCAGTAAACAATCAAAAAGGTAAGAAATATTCAATTTTTTTTCAAAATCTTTTATATCGATTTGATCACATAATATTTAAAAACAAATTATTTTTTTGCCTTTTAGTTGTGAAGAAAAGGGCGAAACCAAAAGAACAAACCGAAGTTAAATCAAAAGAAAATTTAAAAGTTTTGAGAATTTTAAGTGAATTTTTAGAAAATTTTAGAAAATACTTAATACAACGATTCTAGTAGGTTTCCTTATTTGCAAACATATCAAAAACATTTTATTTACAAAGTTAGTATTTATGTCTCAATGTATACAACAATCTAGCTTTATTTTTACTAGTTAGGAAAGAGCACATTTTTCTTAAAAAATCATTTCCTGAAAGTATTTTGCCCATTTTGATTCCTTTAAGGTTCAATGCGATTATTGTCAGAAATATAATTTTTTATTTCTTTGATAAATTTTTAATTTTTTTATTTCTTTCTGCAGGAGTAATTGGGGAAAATATATTTAAAATTTCTTGCAGTAATAAAAATAATATACAAAATGACCCTCGGGAAACGAAAATCTTCAAGACCCTTCAAATATGGATAAAAGAAAAAAATTAAGCTCATTGAAATGAAAATACATCCTGTTTAGCAGTAATTTTCTTAAGAATAGAGAATATTTAAATTAAAGCTGATGTAATGAATGACAGGGTGTGTGAGGACTGAAAAGAGGGATACGGCCTTGTTAAGTATTGTTCGCCAAAACCTGAAAATTGATAAGCTCCAAGCTTTGGATAAACTTCAAGAAAGGGTTAAGATTTGTTTTAAGAATATTCTTATGATATCTTTTAATATTGGACTGTCCAGTAAGTCCACAAGATGAGTATTGATTTTCTTTTAAAAAAAAATAGCACACTGACAGAAGTTTTATTGCTAAGAGGTGTGTTGGTTATTTGCTACCTTTTGACTGGTAGCTTTGCAACGTATATATGGTTTGTCTTAAGATCCTAGATACAGATTTTTGTAAAATGATATCCATATTTTTCATTTCTGTTGTAATCCTATCTAGCTCTATATCCAAATATACTCTAAGCCTTTTCTGAAGTTTCAAACGTAACAATGGATCTTTTAAAATGGGGTAAGTTTCAATTTAAGAAAACCATGTTTTTTTTTTATTTCAGAATATCTGTGTGATCAGTGTGAATTTACTACCAGGCTACCAACATATCTAAAGCTTCATATGCAGGCTGCTCATGAAAATATTCGGTATCCCTGCCATCTCTGTGATTATAAGGCGACACGAAAATTCTGTTTGAAAGCACACATAAACTCTGTGCATAATGGAATTTTTTTCAAATGTGATCAGTGTGAATATAAAGCACAATATAAATTTACTCTCATAGACCACAAAAAACGAATGCATGAGGATGATAAACTCTTTCAATGTGATGCTTGTGAATTTCGTTGTACTATTTTAAAGGAATTAAGAAATCACAAACAAAGTAAGCACGAAGGTGTTACTTATCCCTGTACACAGTGTGATTATGTAGCACCCTGGCGTCAAGGTTTGACAAGACATATTAAAAAGTTCCATGAAAATCTTGTTTATCCCTGTAAACATTGTGATTACACTAGCACCTGTATATCTACATTCAAAATACATGTTGAAACTAAGCATCTTGGTATAAGATATCACTGTGGTATTTGTGAATCCAATTTTGC